AAGAGAAAAATCACAAAAAGAAGAGTGGGAGAGAAGAAGAAGTTGGCTGTTGTCATCAGCGACCATCATTGAAAGAGGGAGAAAGAAAGAAATCATCCTTATCGCTTGAAGTAAGTAGAAACTCTTCTTTTTGAAGAGGGAAGAAGACTGTTTTTTTCTTCTTCTTTTTTTGAAATCAGAGGAAATAAAGACAAGAATTGAAAGCAAAAACACAAAGAAACTTCCTCCTAGTTTCAGATTATACAGTCCTTGAGGAGCAGGTCGAAGGTCGAAGCAAGCCACCGATGGAGATTGAAGATTGGGTTTTTTCCCCTCGAAACTGCAGCAAAACAGTCTCGTACGAGAGAAATAGAGGAAACAACAATTAATCTGTGTGCTTGTTTCTAATTGGTTCAGAGAGTTGAGGATTGCCAACGCAGATGATTTGTGTTTCTTTTTATGAGAGCCTTTTTTTTGTCTATTTACAATTTTTTCGATTTCCTATACGATACTGGTTTAGGAATTTTGATAAAATCAATTTTTTAAAAATTCAGTTATATGATTAATAACAAAAGAATAGTCCATTCAGTATTTTTATTTCATTTAATTATTTCCAGGTACAGATTTATAAAAAATAATATTGAAAAATAATTGTATTTTATTTTATATGTACGGGTACGATTTTACGATCCGTATCGATCTTACGATTTACGATTTTTTTATCCCCTCCGAATCTTATTTAAGATCTCGATCTTAACAACATTGTTTATAGGGGCTTTGGTCTCTATTCTCAATCGAAGCTCAGTAACTTTCTCCCACAATTTCATTTTATGACTCAAACCTTAATGTCTCTATATAACAATTATAGATATCTCCCTTGTTCTTGTATATAGGGACAATGATACTCTTTCTCCATTCATGAAACATCTTATTAGTTTGGAAAATATTGTTAAAAAGATTAATTAACCAATTTATTGCCAAGTTCCCTAAGCATCTCTCCACCTCAATTTGGACTGCATCAGGTAGGGGTGTTCGCGGTCTGGATTGGATCGGTTTTGGAAGTAAAACTCATCCGATCCAATCCCTTCGGTTTGATCATGTAATCATCCATTCGGTTTAGATTTTTTTTCAAATCCGATCCGATCCAATCCAATTTTTTTCGGTTTGGATTGGATCGGTTTTCGGTTTTTTGAATATCCTAAAATTAGTTTCATGATTATTGTGCAAATAACATCTTTTGTATATATTGGCTTTGTAAAAAAAAATTGAAATACAAAAATATCAATAAACAATACTATAGTTGATGAGACATGACTAAGTTTTTTTTTGGGTTTAGTTGATGAGTTAATGGGTCTTGAGTTTAGAAATTTTTGGGCTATGATTGGAGAAAGGACAAGTAGGTAGAGGATAATTAATATATTGAATTGGTTTGGATTGGATCGGTTTTCATCAACCCATCCGAAAACCGATCCAATCCAATTAAAATTTGCGGTTTTCTTTCGGTTTCCGATTTTTTGGTTTTCAGTTTATTCGGTTATTGGTTTTTTTGTTCGATTTTCGCGGTTTGAATCGGTTTGGATCGGTTGATGAACACCCCTAGCATCAGGTTCTACAACTTTACCGGTCTTCATCTTTTTTAATTCATTTTTAACTTCATGTACTCTAACAATTATATGACTAAACCTTTTAATTAGCTTTCTTGTAATCGGTTTCGTTTTATCTCTTTATGGGTAACTAATTGTGTAATTAGAATAATTAATATTTGTTTACCAAAAAAAAAGAATAATTAATAATTATTTGTTTTAGCTTTTCTTTGATTATGTAATTTAGAGAAAGCTTAATTTCAAAACATTGTGCAGTTTAAATGATAAGCTCACATTAAGGATAACTAGAATCTAATTACTTAATTTTGGAAATCTTAGCTTAAATAATATGATATAATTATAAATGATAAAATCTTTCTTTTAAATATTTATGCTATCAAATAAAATTACATAATTACTCCTCGTTAAATCAGGAGGGCCACATAACCTCTGTGCAATCAAAGATGAGGATGAACACATAGATGTCTTTTAATGTTGAGCTTAAGGCATCTAAATTATGCACAATGAGAGTATTAAATCCATAGAAGGCTAAATATTTGAATCTTTTAGTACCAATATATATATATATATATATATATATATATGAAAAATATTTTTTTATGTCGTAAGAGAATTATTTTTTTCTAGACTCTTCGATTTTTGTGTAATATTTTTTTTTGTTTTTTAATTTTTTTAATAGATGTGGGTCCCACATAAAATATGTTTACAGTATGAATTTTTTTTTTCTATGAGAAAATCAAAACTCATATATATATATATTTGAATCTTTTGTTAACATAGAAACCTCAGTCAAGACCTAACAATGACACAATGCCAATTGTCCTTTTCATGCTCCTCAATGCAGGCTTTGAGTTACATTTTTTTTTTTTTTGTAAATGGCTTTGAGTTACATTTAGTGTGAACGCTGTAAGCACATTTAGAGGAACAAAAATTTCTTGGGAAAACAAATGTCGCTAGTAAGCACATTCTCACATGTCCTTGTGTGCGTTCTCATCATATAGTGTGAACGCTGAAGTTACATGGGAATTATTCTACCATCACATGAAGTAAAAATGATTTTGTGTCTCGAAATCATCACCTATAGATTATAACGGACAATCGTGCAAGTACAAAAACTACTACAAAATTAAACAAAATAATGTTACAAATCAACAAAATTAAACAAGGTACTCAAGGGTTGTTGGTGGCGATCCAGTTGGATTTTAGAATTTCATCTATTCAAAGAATGATGAGTTAGATTTTTGAAAATCACAATTCCTAGGAAAAGTAAAGAGACTCAAATTAAAAATCAAAACTAAATTAAATTAGCACTTTTGACACTTGTTGATATTTAAAGAAGGGTTTACTTTTTCTGCAGTTTACTGCGAATAAGTTATTTGCAGTAAGCCCAATATGACGTTGTTTTGGGGTGAACATCATGGTATTTTTGTAATTTTAATTTATTTCAGGGTTATTATAGTCTTTATAATTATAATTTTTTAATATTTTGATCCCAAAACAACGTCGTTTTAGAAGTAAATGCAGATAATTTATCTGCAAATAATTTCAGAAATATTTTTTTTTGAAAAAAATAAAATAAACAAGTTCAAAAGTTGAGAGAGGATGCTTATGTTTTGTCCAGGACGAGGATAGGTGTTTGACTATTGCATTGCTTATTTATTAAAGATTTTTTTTTTTTTTTGAATAAAATGTATTATATATTCCTTGCGAAATAGAGACATGGAGATCAAAATATTTAATGAGCATCCTCCATTTATTCATTATTTATTTTGGCAATATTTATTCTTTTATTTGGTATCCTTCTGTTTGGATTTATGTTAAGCATAGCGACCTTATAGAAAAGAAACTTAGTTTAGTTGGAGGCCGAAACCTAACACAATGATAAGGATACCCCGTCTTAGCTAGAAAATTAAATTAAAAGTGCAAAGTTAATTGCATCATTGAATTGTGTTACCCGTTTGATTTGTAGCGCTCATGTAATAGTCATCACATTCTATAAATTTAAAATATAAAGCTTTATTTCCAAGGCTAAAACAGGTCGATGATTCCGATAAGAAAAAAAGTTCTCTAGAATGTTATCTCAAAACTATTTTGAAGTTTTTTATATACAATTTTGTTCTTTGTACACCGGCATGTCATTGGATTCTTCCCCCATTAATTCATATTCTTAATGTTTCCAAAATTTGTAATTTTTGTATTAATTTATTCTTCGGGGATGAGAAATAATTTATATCGCAATGTTCTTAATGATAATATTTTATAGTAAATTGTTAGAGTACATTATTATAACTTCTTTTTAAGAGATATTGTTAGATAAATATAAAATCAATAAAATCAATATTGTGTTAAGTACATGTAGGTGAGTCTATACATTGTCTACCCTTCAAGTCTAATAGGCTCTCATGAGATGGACGTATTAGAGAAACATAAGATTATTAATGTTACCTCAACCAATAGATTAAATTTTTGGGTTAAATTGGTTCTTTTACAAATATACTTATTTGATAATAGTTTTGGTGTCAATTTTGATTATATATAATCATTTAAAAAATATTATACAATTTAAAGTTTTAGATATTAAATTCTTTTAGTCATTTATTGATTCTGTGATCTTTTGTATTCAACTTCCACTCCACCACACTATCTAGAAGGATTAAAAATCTCACTAGGGAGAGACAAACCTCCACCAGATATGTTTCACTAGCTACGACGAGGAAACCCTAGTAGATGATCAGATGCGTGAAAAGGACTTATTTTTTAAAATAATATATTGAAAAGTTAATGATTAATTAAAATTAATGTAAGCGAATTATTCTTTTTAAAAAATTGAGAGTTAATATTAAATAATATATTCTATATAGTGATATTAATTACTTCTTAAACTTATTTTCTTTTACATTTAATAATAATAATACTTGTAATTTAATAGGGTCATTATTTATCTCACAAATAATATAATTTTATTAAACACCAATTTCTCCAAGGTTGAAGCTTGCAAACATTGTGTGTGCTAGAGATTATTAACTATTAAATGAAGATTTCATCATTCAGATGTATGTAATAATTAAGTTACTTAAATAAATAAATAAAATAAAATAAAGACAGATACAAGGGGTTGTTTTTTTTTTACATTAACCCTCCAAAAACGGACCAATAGTATGAAAGGAATTCTATCTACCTAATTAATGCATTTCTTATTAATATTTCTAATATATAGAAGGAACACCTGTAGCAAAAATAACTGAAAATGGAACCATTCTAAGAAAACAGTGGGCATTCTTAAATCTTAATGCATAAGTAATATATTATATATATGTAAAGTATTAACTTGTGTGTATGTTTTATATATAATAGTGTTTGATGAAACACTAATTACTCATTAACAAGCCAGCAGCATAGAGTAAAGGACATCCAACCATGGCTACTCTCATTGCTCCTCCCAACCACTCTCCTGTAGAAGATGCTGAAGCTCTCCATAAGGCTGTCAAAGGTCACATGATCCAACACTTCCCATTTCTTCTTAAACAATTCATTTTAGTTTGATTGATTTATATATAATTTTCTATCTTGAATATTGTCCATTTAATTTCAATCCTTCATTCACATAACAATCATTTTTAATGTAAATTATTTTTTCCCCATATAAGAATAATAACAAGTTAGAAACTTAGCATAGTTGATGAATATGTGATATATTTTTTCAATTACTGGGTTTCAAAACTTTGTAGGTTGGGGAGCTAATGAAAAAGCCATTATAGCAATACTAGGTCATAGAAATGCTAAACAAAGGACACAAATCAAACAAGCATACCAGGAACTCTTCCAAGAGGATCTCATCAAACGCCTTGAGTCTGAGCTCTCTGGTGACTTTGAGGTATATATACAAAAATGAAAAAAGAACCTTATTTTTTATTTTTGGCAATGACAATTTCAAAAAAGGCTTGTAATGAAAAAAATTCTAATTGCTTTGATGCACTAATGAATTTGACTTGTTTTTGTGTGGGGATTGTACAAAATAGAAAGCAATGTACCGGTGGATGTGGGAACCTGCGGAACGTGAGGCTTTGCTAGCAAATATAGCGCTCAGAAATTATGGTAACAAAAACTACCATGTGATCGTGGAAATTTCATGTGTCCTTTCACCTGAAGAGCTTTTTGTTGTGAGGCGTACCTACCATGACCGGTACAAGAGTTCCTTGGAGGAAGATGTGGCTATTAACACCAGTGGTCATCTTCGCCAGGCAAGTCATATTTTTTCATATTTATACTAGTTTTTCTTTTTTTTAATAAGAATGAAAAACAAGTGAATAAGTGAAAAACGTAGGGGGCCTTTGGTTGGGGAGAAATTTTTATGAATTATAGTCAAATATGATTAGTGGAGAAATGGGTGGAAAGTGAGTTTGGTGGGAAAATGTAAAAATAGTTGTTTGGTTGAAAAATATTTTAGTAGGAAAATTAGGTAAAAAAAGTCTACGTTTGGCTGATGGTAAAAAATAGATGGGGAACTCAATGCACAGTTACGAAAATAACCTTCTTTTATTAAATTAAACAATGTGGGCATCGTACCCTTTTGTAAACAATGAGGGTAAGCTGGTCTTTTGTTAGTCTAAACAGTGACCAAATAAGGCTGCTTTTCCAAAATACCACTCGACCATGGGGCAACTTTCGCTGGCTAAATGGTGTTGGAAGTCTATGCTTTTTGGTTATCTACACAACTGATTTAGCTGGCATAGTAAGAAAAATAGTCCAACCAAACGTGAGCAAGTTAGATGTCTTGCTTTCATTTCCCATCTTTCTCCAAGAATCCGTAAACCAAACGCACCCTTAAAGTGTTCGGACCAAAAAACACACGCCATCGCAAAACGTAATAGAGAGAAGTGAAGAAAAAATGGAGACACAAATTTACCTTATTCACTCAACGTGAGCTATGTCCATTAATAATGTTTTATCACGATCACTTGTAACACTTTGTTTACAAAGAGAATCTAAATAGGTTTAGAGATCCTAAGCAATAACTATTTATGAGTCCAAGCTCAAATTATTATGCGAAGTATGAACCATACCAAATATAACGTGTATTTATTTGCACAAGTTTAGACACAATTTATTATGTTTCCACAGCAATTAAATCCTGATTTATAGGTTCAATCAAAATCATTATATTTTAGGAGAGATGTGGAATTCCTCTGTCTCAATAATTGAATAGAATCAATTTTAATATTTTCTCAATTAGAGTTGATTATTATAATTATTAATTTTCTCTCGTCTTGTATATATATTGTAATCTCACTCTATTGAAGAATTTGAATGTATGAAATACCAATTTTTTACCGTAGTGACTAATGATACTAGTCTATGGTTGATTTTGAGCAGCTTTTGGTAGGGTTGGTGAGCTCATTTAGGTATGGTGGGAATGAGATCAATGCAAGATTGGCACAATGTGAAGCTGATATTCTTCATGAGGCTATCAAAGACAAGAATAGCAATCATGATGAAGTTATCAGGATCCTTACTACAAGGAGCAAGACCCAACTTGTGGCAACTTTCAACCGCTACAGGGATGACCATGGCATTGCCATCACTAAGGTACAATTAGGAACATTTTCCCAATTGTTTTGTTTCATTCTTAATTGTTTCTCTAAATATGCAATTTCAAAATACTGAGTTATAGACCTCATTCAACAGCAATTAGTTTTCTAATTCTTCCTTTCTCTCTTTGCAGAAATTGTCTGATGAAGCATCTGATGACTTTCATAAGGCAATGAACATAGCCATTCGTTGCATCAATGATTCTAAGAAGCACTATGAAAAGGTTTGGATATCTTTCTTTCATATAATATAGTAGATGTTCAATCATGCATTGAGTACAATATCTCTTTGAACATGACATCAAAAACATTTGTTATACAAAATATTTTACCTTGAATCCTAATTGTAGGTACTGCGCAATGCTATGGAAATTGTTGGAACTGATGAGGATGCACTCACCCGTGTGATTGTAACCAGGGCTGAGAAGGACCTGAAGGACATCAAAGAGGTCTATTATAAGAGAAACAGTGTTCACCTTGAGCATGCAGTGGCCAAGGAAACTTCTGGAGACTATAAGAAATTCCTCCTCACTTTGTTGGGGAAAGAAGACTAAACTACTAGATTTAAGGACATATATAAAACGGGTTTGAGTCACATTGGTAACTGAAGCTGTTATCTCAATTTGTTTGCCTATTGAGTTTCTTTTTTTACTGAGTCTTGTCTTCATTCTCTTTGTTCTGTGGCAACTTGGAAAATCTTAGTTAACAAGGTAAGCTATTGGATTAGTATAATGGGTTGATTCATATTATGGTTATAAGTTGGGTTTGCAACAGAAATTGAGACCACAATATTGATTAAAGAGGTTTTTGCAATTGCATGGTGACAGTAATTAAGGTAACATGTACTGTATTTAACTTTTTGTAATTTCAGTAACACAATTTCAATTAGAAAAGTGGTTAAATAAAAAGTTGAGATTTTCACAAAAGAGTAACCCTCTAATTCTTCATTTCTATTAACAAAATAAAAAAATTCAACTCCTAAAATAAGGCTCACAAGCACTCTTTTATAGACTAATACAAATTGATTCAAAATTCAAAATTCAAAAATCTAAAATCTAAAATCCTAAAAATAAGAAAAATTCCTACCATAAATATAATATTTCCAAAAATAAATAAATAATTATAATTAAATCATTCAAAATACATCTCAAATCTTATATATCTAATCACGCCAAATGTGTTATATTTTTAGGCAAATAAATCTCAATTGTATCTGCTGCTTTATTAGAACTTGGATTTAATCATAATTTGTTATATTTAAAATCGCTGCTTCTTTCAACAATTGTGTCATACTTATTGGGCCACAATTCTGGTTGACTCTAAACTTCTTGAATCAATGGTTAGACCATGTGCAATGAGCCAATTATAAGTGCATCATAATCTTAACTCAAAACCTTGGTTGATATTAAAATAGATGAGTCCTTTAATACAAATCAAGCCAACAGAAAAATGTTTCTTAGTTTGATTTTTATTGAGAAAGTGACGATGTTAGGTTGATTCATGATTTAAAATTTGAGCCAAAAAATAATCCTACTAGTGATTTAGTTGCTCTCAACCACCAAAGGCCTACATTGGAGTTGTTGTGGTTGGTTATCCCCACGGAAGCTGAAACCATTTGGTTCAAAAGTCTTTCATCTGATGTCATTTATGTGTCCTGCATTTCTAAATCAACTTTTTTTTTTTTTTTTTTTGAAAAGCTCTAAATCAAGTTTTGTAATCAATGTGTTTTCACTATATTTTGTACCTTCGGCAATCTCCTATACGTAGGAGACACATATCTGGACAAAACGACAGAGTGCACAAGTATCCAAAGAAGTTGAAAACAGAGAGGTATGATGACATTTTGCCCACAAATAACTACTAAAATTGACGGAACAAAAAGAAAGAAAGAAAAGAAAATCCCTACTAACGATTTATTTACACCCTAGAAAATAAACAGAAGTGGTAATTTCAATGAATTGTAGTCATTTTGGTGAACTCGAGATCACTCATTAGCTAAAATAATCTTTTACGAGTTGATTAACATATTTAGTGGTATTATATTATGGTTTCTAATTGAATACAAAGCTTTAAGGGACGTTTGGTAGATCAAATATTTTTTTTACTAAGGAAATATAATTACTGAATAAATAGTGAAAAAATCAGTTTGGTAGGAAAATGGAAAAAAAAATTATTTGGTAAGGCGAAAAATTACCGGAAAACTGGTTTAAATTTTCAAAGTCTATGTTTAGTTAAAGATAAAATATTGATAGGAAAATAAAATTCAATTACACAACGCCCCCATAGTTATTTGGTTTTCTTGACTACATTGGGTCCCTCATTAACTTATAGCAATGAAAATGAAGGTCTTAACGTGATGCAGGAATTGCAATGGCGCTCCTTTTTAAACAAAAGAAAGAGGAGAGAGACTCCACTGTAGAGTCATTTTGGTCATTGCAAATTGCGCCCTTTTTTTCTTTCCCATCTAAATCTCAAATACCACCCTTCTGGTGATTTTTTAAAACAGTGTTTTTCAACTATTTTTGCAAACGAATTGCAATGGTTGGGGAAATGATTTTGCAGGTAAAATTTGTTACTCTTGTACCAAACATGGTCAAATAAAAATACCAATGAAAGTTACATGAGTATCTATGTTAAAAACCCTACTAAACGCCCCCTAAAGGAAAAAAGACCTACTTTATTTATATAGTTATTTGCGCATCAATTTGAACGTTGTATTAGTTACATAAAATATTCAAAAATAAGATTAATTATATAATTTTTATTGAAATTGTAATTTGAATATTCCGCCCTATGTTTGACATTAACCAACTAACTTATTTGGAACTTTGTCATGTCTTCATTAATATAAAATAAACGATGAACATACTTCCCCATGTACTACAATACATTCATGAAAAAATAACCACTCTAATAAAAATAAAGAGTTTAGTGTTTCTCATAATGATAAATTTATATTTTATATATATATATATATATATATATATATATATAAATATAAATATGTAGGATCTAACTGACCCAATATGAAAAGATAAAGAATGAAAAAAAATATGAATCTCATATACTTTTATATATACAGAAGATATATTTATCTTCTATAGCATAAGAAACATTAAACCTAAAAATAAAATATAAGAAATACCCGCAATATTGTCACAACATGACGACAAAGGGGATTTGGTCTCGTAGATATCATCCACAAATAAAAAAAAATTTATTTTATGGATTACAAATTTTCTTGTCTTTTATGAGGTGTAAATATATATTTTGATTTTTAAAAAATATTATTTTTCATTTAAAAAATTATTTATACGGAAATAAATTTATTGATGAATTGATAATTTTAATTAAATACACTTATTATTTTAATTTATATAAATAAAAAATTTAGAGTTTAAAATAACATTAATAATACATTTAGAATTGTAGTAAGCCAATTACTGCCATGCATTTAATGGCTAGCAGAGCCGTTGACAAAAGAGACAAAGAGCCGCACACTAACTCTCAAGGGTAGTTCAGTTGGCAATTGAGCTTCCAAAAGTTTGTTTGAGTCAGGGATTTAAATCTTGTCTCAATTAAATTCTTGAAAAAATTTTAGAGGCTAGAGGATGCGTCTCTCTCCTCGAATAGGAGATTAGTCTCATTCTTCCTCAAATGGCAAAGCTCAATGCACCCGCTATTCTAATGAGGGGATAGCCTTCGAGGCCGTACTCCGGTCACTTTGTGATCGGAGGAGGTTGAATAGAGATACCTGTAGGTTATACTAAAAAAAAAGCCGTACATTGTAACATCCTAGTCTCGAGTCGGTTCAGTTAACACACATATGATACTAAACATAAACAACGGAAGACTTAACTTACGAAAATTTGAGGTAACCTTTTCTTTTTCTTTTATCACATTCACATGATATTTAATATTGCATACATCTTCTAGTTTACTTTTCATCTGACGGAGACGAAAATCGGACAGAGTGACGTCTGTAAATCGAACAAATAGAGATTTGTTAATCCCACTCTCAAGATAACCTAATAAACAGTTTATATAATCTATGATTACAGAAATATCAGATATCTATCACAAGTCACATACCCATTATGGGCTCATATATAACTTTGCATCGTGCCACTATGTCTAACAACATGTATAACCAACACGTAGACATATAACTGAATACTACATCATAATATAAACATGTCTGAATACACAGATGTACATGCATCAAAGCGGAAAACATGTACAAAGCATATACATTCCATATACAAAGTAATGGATCAGACATTATGATCCACAAAACAAATGGAATACTAATGGAAATAACAATCCTCAAAATAATAGTAGCATACTGTTATCCAAAATCTGGTCCGCGATGCGCTCTATCCACGGGTCGTATCCCTGCCTCGTGTAGGCTCATCGGCAATCTGTACACCTGAAATGATGTCCCCAAACGGGGTGATATAACAAATCTCAATAAGCTCCAGGTTTATATAGAATTCTCTATACCCCTGGGTCCACCCCTGCATGAAAATCAGATACAGAGTATACAAAGCATCATATAACAGATATCTTAACTAAACAAAATATATATACATATCTTATCAGAGGCGTACGCAGTCATTCCCAAGGGAGGACCCCAAACGGAACCAGAACATATCAGAGATGTACGCAGTCACTCCCGAGGGAGGACTCCAAGCAGACATCAGTGCACATACAATCAATGGCCAAAGATCATTACAGAAATCACATCTGAACAGAACATATCATATTATCAAATAGCTCTATATGAATGCATTTATACAAAACATCAAATACAGTCATACAATCCAACCATAGTCCACTAACCATGGTGGAGCACTCAAGTAGGAAAAGACTCCGTAAACATAGAGCTTACATCTTGGAGCTTTTACAATATTCTTACTTGTTGCACAATTCATTTATCTTGATCCAAAAGAATCCAAATGTTCGCAATATCTAGGCACACCTAGAGAAGGAATTCAACACAAAACTCAATAAAATGATATAGTGCCATGTAAATTTACAAGACACACACTTTATTGTTTACTTTCTTTTTCTTATCAATTCTTATGCCAATATTATGTCACTCATACAAGTTATAACCAACTTTTTTTTTTTGCTTAATCATATTAGGCCATAGGTGGGAGGTTCTTTGTTCAACAAATTCTCACATAATTTCACATATTCACTAGTCTTAGGATAGTCCCAAAAGGCCATCAGAACATTCATTACTCCTCTTAGCACTTAAAAAACTATTCTTTCCAATTTAAGGCAGAGTGCCCATTACAAAGGAGCTATAAGATTTCTCTATGTCTAGTTCCTAAACCCAAGCTTAGCCACCTATATAAATTATTTTACGCATAAAAGTGTTCTCACTTTGCGAAACAGTAACTCCAAACGTATACCTCCTTTGAAAATGGCCAAAACTCATTTTAAGGGCATACAAAGGAGCTACCTTATTTTCTTTTTTATTTCACCAAAGCGATGGTTCATACACCTTCGAATATTATTGCACGCATAAAAGTATGCTGACTTTGCA